ATTTCTAACTCATTGTACCATATGTCAATGTGTACAGGATAAAAAGGCTAGCATAAAAACCCCACAGCTTATACACTTTAGTAGTATATTTTATTTAAATCATTCTTAAATGTCGTCCGTTTCTTGAGTCAGCCATTAGTGTGATTGACGCGCGCTAACAACGAAGTTGTTTGTAATTAATTTGTATAAATTTATATTTATTGTGTGGTGAATTGTGTTAAAACAGTGCCTGGGTAAGTAACCTTCTTATTTGTAATCTCATTTTGTGTTTTATCTTATTAAGTACGTGTAAAATCGTTTTTTAATATGTATGAAGCAAACTGCTATCTTAGAACTAACATGCTGGTTGAGGAAAATTGACTGGAAATGTACGTAAAATTTTAGTTTTGACTGTCAGTTTTGTGTTAAAATATGTGTAATTGTTCATTTTTCACAGTTTTAGTACATTAAAATGAGGATAAAGTGCAATATTTTCAAAATTTTAATGTAAATACGCAATAGGTGCAATAGTGTCCATTTTTGTGACGTCCGCAGTAGTGAATTCTAGTTCTCTGTTTTGCGAGTGGCGAAAAAAGGAACTAAAGTTTGCCATACTGCATCAAGTTCAAATTCGGTTGAATGGTTAGAATGGTAAAGAATCTAGCGCCCTCGAGCAGAGAAATGGAGCTTGGTTGACTCCACGATTATTCGATGATTTATGAAAAATTGAATGTGGCATTTGGATATGTCATGTATGTTAACACAAGACTTCGGAATTTTTTAAACAATTTATTAAATCATAAAATTAGAAAGTATTTAAATAATATGCTTTTTAACATTTTTATTTTAATATTTTTTTATATTATTTAATATTTGAAATTTTTATTTTTTTTTAATTTAATATGTTGAGTGATTTTTTAAGTTAACCTCAGACACATATTTCTTATTTTGTTTTCTTTTTTAGTGTACATTTTATCCGTATGTACTTTGCAAATCGTGTAACGTTGCGTTATGTATCAACCCAGAGCAAGATTGCTGCTACCTACAGTACCATTCGTAAATGAATTGTACTGTAGATACAGTAAATCCAACAAGTACCAGCCTTTTAAATAAATGAGTACCTATGTTACATATTTATTCAATTTTATACATATGTCCATCCAATGGATGTAGGATGATAGTTTTTATTGTTGCCTAGCTATAATTTGTTCAGCTAATTATTTCAGACTATCATCGTCGAAATTGTTAAGTTAGTTAAGTTACACAGCCTATTTCCGTCCCACTGCTGGGCCTTCCCTCACTTCTGAAAAGGTTTTAGGGCAAAGAAGTGTCCGCCGCGCTGCCCATATGAGTGTTGGCGAACTGCACATGCCTTGGAAATTTTTTTTTATTTCTCAGACAGTCAGACTTCCTCATGATGTTTTCCTTCACCGCCGAGCAAGAGGTAAATCAGCACTTAAAATTGCAATTAATAATTTCATTGATGCCGGCGGGGATCGAACCCGGTGTGCTAGCGTACTGTGAAATTTAACGCGAGAGCTAACAATCTGAGCTACCAGGGCTCTCTCATCGTCGTAATGAATACTTAAGTTAGTTAAGTTACAGTCTTTTTACGCCCCACAGCTGGGCAAAGGCATCCCCTTATTTCTCAGAGGGTTTTAGGGCAAAGAAGTTTCCGCCGCGCTGCTCCAATGCGTGTTGGTGAACTTCACATGTCTTCGAAATATTTTTTTCTTATTTCACAGACGTGCAGGTTTCCTCACAATGTCTTTCTTCACCGCCGAGCACGTGGTAGATCAGCACTTAAAATTGCAATTAACAATTTCATTATTGCTAGCGGGGATCAAACCCGGCTTGCTAGCGTACTGTGAAATTTACAGCGAGAGCTAACCATCTGAGCTACCACGGCTCTTCTGAGCCACCACGGCTCTCATCTTTGAAATGAATACACCTATAGGATAGGGTGACAAAATGCAGATGCATGTCATCCGTGACGACTAAGATGGAATGCCTCGTTTCCAGTAAAAAGGGTCTCCGGTTCTCGACACTCACCATACGAAACACAGAAGGAGGCTATTATTTCACGCTGGTATTCTGTGAGAGCGTGGTCATTCCCCGGTCGAGCCGGCCTATTCGTGCTACAACTATACTACTAATATAACTGCAGCATGACTCTACAACGTATAAAAAATGTTTTAATGGACTAGTACATGATGCACAAAAAAGTGCAGAATCGGACTTTAATTGTGGCATATTTTTGTATAATGCATAAGAAGTGGGTTCTTTAAAAATATACATAATTAATATTTTTTTTATTTCAGGAAGAGATATATTTATTTTAAATTTTATTATTTCGTAGCTATTATTTGTGTTAAAGAAAATATGTTACCTTTTGGAGAAATAATGTTGTTGGTTATTGGAAATGTAACATAACCGCTGAGCACCTCGCGGCGCCTCTGTCACTCGACACGTATTATGGTGCATTGGGTATTGTTTACAAAAAACGTTATTTATAAATCTACATCAGCGGGAGTGACCCTTGAGTGGTTTTATGGTTTTTAAAGGAATGAATGAATCTTTATTTCTGTACAAGTGCTGTTAAAGTTTGTTTGCTCAAATAAAGTAATTAATTTTTCAATAAATATGGCACTTACGACTAAAATTTTGATATCGGCATTAAGAGTACTTTTCTAAAACTTAGCAAGACCTATTGAAAGATGACTGAATCATGTAAAGAAAAAGAGAGGTTCAATACTGAATCATTATAATGAAATAAAAAAAAACTATTTTTATTGACTAAAGCATTACGCCGCATTATGCCGCATCTGGTCCGAACTACATTCTACATCGGTGTAAGTTGATTGTGGGTTCTTGTAAGCTTATTATTAATGCGTTTTATGATAAAAAATTGTATTGTAGCCTATGATTTTGCACATAAAATATTGTAAACAATAGATGTAAGATTAAAATAAAATAAAATTGAACTATTAAAAAACTTTGTGTCATTGAGAAATATGATAGATTTGAATTTATTCAATATTTAGTTATACTAATTACTTTAAAACTTTATTAAATATATGTATTCGTTTATATGAAATTTCATAGAGAATTCAGAAATGTATACATATTATAGTATTCGATATACCAAAATCAAGATATTTGCGTTTAAACTGATTGGGCCCAATCAGCCGTCCATTTTATTAAACAGCTCCGCAGTCAAAGGAGTATTACGGTTAGAGTCTCCGCAGCTGAAAGGATATTATTGTAACCTTTTAAGAATAAAAAGTAGAGGTATATATTTATCATATATATTTTCCATAAAATATCATCTTCTCCTGCATACTTTATCCCATGTTGGTCTAAGAAGGCTGGATCTATTTATCCTGTTGTAAAAGGCTACTTTTTTAACATTAAATTTGTAATTCGTATAGGCAATGAGCATGTCATAGACAGATCGACAGACAAATATTTCAACATTGAAGTAATATGTACTTACGTACTAGAACAGCTATACCAAACAAAAAATGTGCGCTACTCTGTGTTCGCCCGATTGTTTTTATATCATAGAATAATAATAGGTAGAATGATCCGTCGGTAACAGTAGATTGTATTGTTAAATAGGCAAATTATATCGAGAACAATATTTAAATCATGTCATTTATTTTGTATATGATATTTGCTTATTTAATATTATATAACATAATATTATATCACAATTATATTTTAATGATATTTTTATCTCAATATTTTAAAAGGTATCTATGTCAAATATAAAAAATCACACTAAATGTATGTTTAACAAAACTTATTAATATAACATTTAAATTACAAATATATTTATTTATATTAGAATAAAAGTCGTTCATAAATGATCCACTTTTATGTGGAATCCTAAAAATAAAATAAAAGAATATTGATCAGATTTAGATATAAATTTTTTGCCTAATAATGATAACATATATGTTTCTACAAAAATAAATGTGTATAATAATATATTTGTACTATACTGTACCCACAGAAATATCGCATCTGAATAAATTAATTTCATTATCTATATTCCATGACACGAGATGGCGTCTTAGGGATAATTTGTTTCATTATTAATCTATAATTTTTTTATTGATTAAGATCTTATTAACCGATGAAAAGTAATTCCTTGGTTTTTACTGACATATCTTGAATTATTTGTGCAATATCTAAGTACACACGATTTATATTTTTAGACAACTCTACAAGTAAAGTAGTAAGTGCGGTGTATGCATATGCACCGCAGTTGAGTGGAACAGAGTAGCTGAATACAGTGTCGCCTCTAGTACGTAGTACATAATAGCTCAATGTATTTCAAGAATAGTTATTGATGTCACAATGGTATGGATATAACCCCCCTTCTGCTCAATAAAAGGTAGTTATGTCGATATTACTTACATAGAATTCAATTACATTTAAATATTTGTACTTGTATGTATATATAGGGAAAGAAAGAAAAGTTATGCTTTATTTATTATTTATAGGATAGGGCGACAAACGAGCACAGAGTCACAGTGGTTGCTGTGTCCCATAGACATTTACATCCATAGAAATATAAAAAAATTACATCTATCCTCGATTACGAATCAAAATGCAAATGAGTTGTCACCCGTGAGGATTAAGATGGAACACCTAGTTTCCAGTAAAAAGGATCACCGGTTCTCAACACTCATTATAAGAAACACATTACGCTGGTATTCTGTGAACCATAGAGCGTGGTCCTTCTCCGGTCAAGCCAATCCATTCATGCTTCAACCATAATATAGCTGCAGCGCATTTTATCTTTCGGTATCAATGTAAATTGGTCAGAAATGACATCTTTCGACCGAATTAATTAGTGATGTTTACAATTATTAAATTTATCAAGAAACCGAACAATACAAATACAAATGTATCATAATAAAGTAAATAAACTTATAGTATTTAAAGCAGCGATTGATATTCCTTCTTCAGTTCCTTAATTGTGTATGACAGTTAAAAAGTTTTTTTTTAAAATGAATAAATTACTTGTAATTATTTTGGCGATCTGTCTAGCACAGGTGAGTAATTTGTATAAATATATTTTATTTAACAAGCACTGTGTGTTAATTAAAAAGACGCAAAATTATAAATATTTTATCGTCGAAAATATTATGTATTAAAACATCATTCCGTATAAAAGTCTACCGCTACAAGAGTCTCTAAGATTCTTGAGAGGATTGGCTATAATCGCCACAATTGACGGGTTGATAAGCTATTTCTTCTATCTTCGTCATCATTCCGTCGGTTAAGAGAATTGCGTTAGACAAGCAGATTGGCAGTTATATTACCAGACATGACGCTGACGTTGACATGACCTTGGTGTTTCTGGTTTTAGTTTTATTTTAGTTGTTATATTTAGTCTGTCTACCGTAATCGAGATGAATATTTTGCCATTTGTCATATGCCGCAAAGTAGGATTTACCTAGTGTATCCTTTAGTTTTATAGTATAAAGCCAGACTACGAACCAGTAAAATGTTTTCATTCTCTGTATTAACTATGTTCTAAAGAATCTAAAAATCTTAAAATTTTATTTACAACTCTTCAGGCTCACGCTTATGTAAAACGCGATGTGGAACCTACAAAGAATAAATTATCTTTAGAAAGCATTAAAAAGCAAATACAGGATATTTCGAAGATAATTAGTAGCAAATTATCCGACACTTTAAATGCTGACCAGATAAAGAATAATTTTAACAAAGTCTTTGATAATCTCGGTAACGCGGTAAGTAAAGATTTTTGATAATTAAATGGATGTTACTTAGCTCAGCATCCTTTATTTATTATTGAATTTTGGCATAATGAGTAATGTCGGTGATAGGACTAAACGGAAATTTATTAATTATACTATCCAAATACAGAAATTATAATAATATTTTTTTGACAGTTACATTTGGAAAGGAAGGTTGAAAATCCCACTCTAGAAGCAACAACACACGAGGAGGTATTCAAATTGATGCATACGTTATAAATGAGAAAATAAACCTTCTATATATAAATTACGGCTTGTATTTTTTCAGTTATCAAACTAATATAACATAATATTTAGTTAAAATGGCGATATAATATGTATATTATGATATAAAATAAATAAATTAAAAAAAGATTTGTTTATAACAGATAAGGTAAAAATTTTGGTATGTTATATCTGTAATGCCAATAAAATTACAGGTATAAATATAATGTTTTCTTTCTATACAGGAAGGCTTAAAATGATATCATTCATAATATTTCACAAATCATTCCACTTTTAACTCGAAATATGTATTAAATAATATCTCTTTGCCTGAAAATTAATATGTATAGTTTGTTCTCGTTTGTTTTATTGCAAAAACTTTATTACTGTGGGGCAGTAGGGTTCTCTCCTGCTTACAAATATAAAATTAACGAAATCAAACACAAAGAGTCGCAATAACTAATTGCAAGTCATACAAATATCCGTATTCGGTGTGGAATTCGAACCCACAGCGCCGCATCTCAATCCTACTGCGCCTAAAACTTATGAAAATATTAATTTTGTCATTAAGTCAGCAGATACGTTTAAGAATGTTTTATAGTTGAAGGATTTACAGTGTGGCATTTTGTTAGGTACAAGAATAAGTCCGAAAAACTCAAAACGAAGGTAATAAAATAGATATTTTTGGACTAAAAACTTTTCTTACATTATTACACCCAAAACAGACTACATTATGCAACCAATAAATTACAATTAAGAAGCTAACTAGCTTGAAGTTCTGCTTTTTCTGGTAGGTGGCGTGATGAGTTTCATTTCGAAAACACTGCACTTTTTACAGTGTAAATATAGAATTTACTAATGATTCTATCACAGAGCTGCCTATTAGGTCCAGATTTAGTGATTTATTTTTTGGCACTTAACAACATATAGGTATTTTGAATGTGGGACATTTGAGTACATCTCTTGTATATATAGAGGTCAGTGGTCCATCTAAAAATAATTCGTTAATTTATAATTTATTTCTTGACTACAGCACCATCTGGTTGTTCAGATGTTAACGCTAACGGATTCACTAACGATTATATACATACCTACAATTTAGTACAATCAATAACTAAAAAACTAAGCTGTGGTCAACCCAAATAAATAAAATAAAATAACAAGTGTTACATAAAGTGTAAGTAGTAAATATTAAGAGCGTATATTCAAATTTGCGCAAGTCAAAATCGCTCTGGAACGGCGTAATATTGAAGCACACTACCATGTTCTCTGTGTGCGTAACTGCTCGAGGTGGTGCGAGCGCAAGGTTACTATAATAGTTGTTTCCAAAGATTTTTGTATCTAGCACGAAACATCTTGATACTATTGGAACTAAGAGAATAAAATAATTTCCATATAACAGCTTATGAGGTTGTAACTAAGACATAGTGTGGTTGCGCGGAAAACCATTCGCGTTTTTTATTTTTGACGGTAGGAATTTGTCGAATCATTATTCCCTTCCGAAACAATATCATTCGTACCCTCCTATCGACACATCGGGGTGGTGGGGTGGGAGGGGAAAGAAGACGATTCTAGAACATCGCGTAATCATCGGACCCGAGGATATATAAGACACGCGCGACCGACGCGCGCTCTCTTCTCCCGCCGCAGTCGTCGTTGAACTACAACCTCCTCTTCCCGCACGCTCGTTTGGAAACACCCCACTAGTGGAAACCGCTTTGGCCTGGAAGCAGTCGAGCTCCAGGAACCCGCCTCACCTCGTGTGAGATATCGTCGCGCACCGCCTCTCTCCGGAGTGTTCCGGAAGTCGCCGCTATAGTGATCGACAGGAAGAAGAAACCCCGGTGAGTCAATACTCCTTAATTATACCTGCTTGCTAATAATTTAACCCGCTCCAATTTGTGTTTTTTTCCTAGTCAAGCAGGATTCCTTTCATCGATTCGACAAGTAATAGTTTAGTTTAGGGAAGAGCGAGTGCATTGTACCGCATGCTATAGTAGTCGCTTCACATAAGCATAGAAGCAATCGCATATACAGTCCACTTTAGTTAATATCTCGCGTAATAGGTTTGAGGTTTGACCGGGGAACTAGATTTTCGGCAGCCTTAAACACGTGGCTCCACCATTTTATGGTCACTTCGGCAGGATCTGGATTGGTGTTTAGTGGTTATCCAACCATTTTCTGGTCGAATTATTAAATTAATTGTTTAGATAACGCACTCTAATTTATAGAATAGACTTAAATAGTGTTCGTTTAAATTAAAATTTTGATTTGTTACTCGCAAACAGAATTATTCATTTAATAGCGCTCGTATTTGGTTAAATTTAAAGCTTATTAAATAATTGAAACGGCGTGATAGCAACCGTTTGATACGCTTACCCCACAATTTTATAAAATTATTAGGTTTAGCAAACGACGCGTAGCCTTGACTGCATCGGGCGCTCGATCTGATTACGTAATACAGCACGCCGAGTATTCATCCTACGTCGTTTATGCGTGTGAGATTAATTGCGATTAATATAACTTTATTATAATAATTTAAAATGGCAGTTAGTGGAAGTGAAATCAAAATTAAAACGCTTTATGCCAAGAGGGACATACTCTTTTCGCGTGTGCAAAATATAAGTGATTATATAAAGAACATTCATATAGAGGCAGTACGGGAGGCCTTTTTAAATGAAATCGAAACGATTGATAATTTGCGGACAGATTACGAAAGAATATTAGACCAAATTAATCATTCGGAACTACAAACCGACCCGAAATACATAGTGAACTACCAACCGCTGCTGGCATTCGAAGATATGTTGTGTCGCGTGAAGAGAACCGCAAAATTGCTACAATCTCAAGGTGAAGCGAAGCCTGAAATGCAGGTACGCCCTCGTGACTCAATTAGGTTACCGCCAATAGATATTCCGGTATTCAATGGTGATATTAAGACGTGGCCCTTCTTCTTCAGTAGTTTTCAAAACAATATACACAACAACCCATCGTTATCGGACGCTGAAAAATTATATTACTTAATTAGCAAACTTAGTGGCAGAGCACAGTCGATCTGCTCGGGTTTTACACCTACAGCAAACAATTACGTATTAATATTTGAAACGCTTAAAACTAAATATGAAGATAGGAGAATGTTAGCTTCCGAATATTTGAACCAGATATTCGATCTTAAACCTATATCATCCGCGAACATCAACGGCTTAGAGCAGTTTCTCGATAAATTTGTGGCATCGGTGGCTGCACTTAAGAATTTGAAGTTTGATGACCTTATGGACGTGGTGTTTCTCCATATAGCATTAAAGAAATTAGACTCCGACACCGTGCGTGCGTTTGAAATGGAGCATCGTAGCTCGGAGATGCCTTCCTTTCATTCATTAGCATCGTTCGTGCGAGATCAAATAAATGTGATGCAGCGCTCACCGAACGTTAAACAGGAGATTAAAAGGTGCGTCGACCGTAGACAGACTCAATCATCTAAAATAGCAGGGTCGTTAACTTACGTAACCGCTACGCCGACATCGCTCCAGCATACTTGTATAGTATGTAAAGATAAACACGGTAACTTATATAACTGTGCGACTTTTCGTAAATATTCACCAAGCGAACGTTATAAGTTAGTAAAGACAAACAACCTATGTTTGAACTGCTTAAGCGATAAGCATTTAGTTGCAAAATGCAATTCGAGTTCCGTATGTAGCAAGTGCGCCAGGAAACATCACACGCTATTACATTTTGAAAATAGCAACATAGCGGCGTCAAGTAAGGCGAATAAGGAATTCACCCCTACTAAGGTCAACGATTCTAGCGGTCGACCTGATGATGTCGCTCTGTGCTCATTGGCAAATATGGGAGCACAACCTCCTTCAACCGTGTTACTGGGTACGGCGCGTATTTTGGTTAGGGATTCGCGTGGAAACAAACAAAGCGTCCGTGCACTGCTGGACAGCGGAGCCCAAAATAGCTTTATAACACGACAATGTTGTCAGCGCTTAGGCTTAGTAATAAATAGGTCACTTTCATGTCCTGTAGTTAAAGGCATCGGAGGTACTAGTAAAGCGACACAGGGATATATAAATTTAAAATTTTATTCTCGGATAGATCGTAACGTTAACTTTGATATAAATGCACTAGTAGTAGATAGGGTCACTGAACGGTTGCCAACCGTTTCGGTTGACACCTCGGCAATGATTGAATTTAAAAATTTGACTCTAGCAGACGACACTTACGCCGTTCCTGGAAACATAGACATGCTCATTGGGGCATCGCTTTTCCCTCATCTTTTGTTAAACAATAAGGTCAGGGGCAACTCCTCGCATACCGCGCCTTACGCACTGGAAACCGTATTGGGCTATGTGATCCTTGGCTCCGCCCCCATCCTAGATAGTATTTCGGCAGCCTCTTATTGTGGTATGGCTGTCGAACCGCTCGAGTCGTTAGTCCGCAAATTTTGGGAGATGGAGGAGGTGAACGTCCCACCCATAGCTAGTTCAGCTGACAGGATATGCGAGGAAATTTACGTCCGCACGACCGTTCGTGATCGCGACGGTAGATATAGTGTAGCGCTACCCTTTAAGGGAGATGTTTTATCTCTCGGCGATTCGCGTCAAATGGCGGAAAAACGTTTCTACAGCTTGGAGCGTAGGATGCTCGCTTCGCCCCAGTTAAAGGAAGCTTACGACGGCGTCATTAACGAATATATAAGAGAAGGTTACATATCACTTGTGGCTTCGAAATTAGATAACTACGAAGACACACCGTCGTATTTTATACCACACCACGGAGTCATTAGAGAGGACAAACTTACATCTAAATTACGTGTAGTGCTCGACGCTAGTGCTAAAACTAGCACTCACCTGTCGCTTAACGATATCCTCTATAGTGGGCAAAATTTACAGGGCAGTTTATTTGATATAATAGTCAATTTTCGTTTGTTTAGTATAGCACTATCCGCCGATATTCGCCAAATGTTTCTTTGCATAGGGGTCCGTGAATGCGACCGTAGATTCCAGCGC